AAAAAAAAAAAAAACAAAAAAACAAAGAAGCCAGTAATGCTCGGAGAGGGTAGGGGAGATGCTCAGTATCAAGCGTGTTCGAATAAGTATTTTTCATCTTTGGCAGAAGGCGTGCAGCAGTCAGGTGCTACTAAATAGCTTCATTCTATTTATGAATTGACTTGGTTAACTGGGGGTTCTCTTTTAAGCCTCTACTTGAAATAGAGCTTCTGCAGTCCACCAAGCCCTTTTGGATCTAGCCCCACTCCAAAAAATATTGTAGAAGCAATGCCAAGAACTGCCAGGCTTCAGTTACAATCTTGTGAAAACCTGGTGTCTACAGGGATGTTTTTCGTCTAGAGTATCTGAGGTTGGAAGGGGAGATGCAGTCTTTAGAAGAACATTCTCTCAGGTAGCCTGACTTCAAAAGGAAGAGGAGAGACTGGACAGGGGTGTGTGGAGGAGGAAATTGCTGCCTTTTTGAAGATGGGTGAGCCCTGGCGTATTTTACAGACTCAAGGATTAGAAGTTGAAGATACAAACAGGAGAGGGAGTGGCCGATGGGGCGGGAGCCTTGCTTGTGGGCGAAGTCTAGCTAGGGAAGAGTGGGATCAAGAGCAAAAGTGAAGGCTTTGGCTGCATAAAGAAGAAGGAGCAGACTATACTTCAGACACTTATGAAGATCGGAATCTGTGATTGTGTGTGATTGTGTGTTGTCACATGGGAGGACAGCTGTGTTAACCGCTATTCCCTGGTCTCTGCTCTATCCCTAAATCAGACGAGGTGACCAGAAAGCAATGGCCTTGTGCTATGTTCCCTTATCTCCCTGTAGACATGCCCTACTAGGACTGGGAATTACTTTTCTGTTTGTATTGAGGGTGGATATAAGGAACAGACATCTGATCTTCTGTAAAACCATTAAAAAAATTTTTTTTAGAGAGTGAGCACCTGCACACACAAGTGAGGGAGGGCTGGGGTGGGAAGAGAGAGCAAGGGGGGAGGGAGAGAGAGAGAGAGAATGAATCTTAAACAGGCTCCATGCTCATCATGACCCTGCGATCATGACCTAAGCCAAAACCAAGAGTTGGATGCTCAACCGAGTGAGCCATTAGGTGCCCCATGAAACCATTTTTGAAGGCATGACATAGAACAATCTGGAGATGCTACAGATTCCTCTTGGAGTTTGATGATAGGAAGTTTATTTGACCTGATAGATTAATATGCTCTTTAAATTTAGATACAGTAGATTATGTAGCTCAATGTATTTCCCGTTTTGCCCTAAAATGTTTTGTTGTTTACAACATCGATCCTTGGCTTGGATTTTCTTGCACTGCTTTTTCTGTCGCTGTTTCCTGCGCTCACCCTCTTCTCCCTCCTTTCTTTATATGGCTTTGATTGAGATATAAATAAATGAATGGAATGAATTTCAGCTCTAGAATTTTGTTCCTAAAGATGACTTAGGATATTTTGTATGGGAGAAAGAGACTTCATCTTTGAGTTCGTTGTCTTCTTCGTCTTCATCTTCTTCTGTCAGGGACATTAAAAGAATCGTGTTAGAAACAGTGTTGAGTTTGAAGGACAGCATGCTCAGGTGCGCTGCTGAAAGCACACACCTGTGTGCTTGGTGTTTCCAATGGCAAGGGGAGGAGTACTGCTATGTACGTGGTCAGTCCTCTAACTCGGGTCCTTGTTTCCGGAGTCTTCCACGTCCAAGAAGAAACCACCTAAAGGAGTTGGTTCACCGAATCCTGGCTGTGGGAGTGACTGAGTTTGTCTGTTAACATGTCACCCTTAGGACCTGAACGCCTACAAGAGGCAGGGGATGGCATTGCTGTCTAGAGTGGGCGAGTCCGTCAAGCACGTCACCGGAGGCTACAAGCTGAGGAGTCGACCTCTGGAGTTTGCAGCCATAGGCGACTACTTAGATACCTTTGCACTCAAACTGGGAACCATTGATCGAATAGCCCAGCGGATCATCAAAGAAGAAATAGGTGAGCCCTTTGTCGAGATCTTGGTCGTGCCCAGGGTGCGTGTGCGCATTCGTGTGTGCTCAGCAGAATCAAACTGCAGAAATACTGGCACGACAGAACGAGGCCGTGCTTCACTTCTAAAACTAATAAATAAATACAGGGAGCAGAGGAGGTCGTTGTGACCAGACTATAATTTTGCGCTCCATCCTTTGCCCTGCTCTTCAGCCTTGTGTTTGCTTTCGTGGCAAACAGCCACTTCTGAGCTTCCAGGCTTTTCCATGACTCTCTTTCTCTCTCAACTTTAGCTTTAAAAGCGGAGACATTGACTCAACTTCCCTTCATTCATAGGAATGATAATTTAAAAAGCAAAACTTTGGTACCTTTTCTGCCAGAAAGATGGTTCAAAAGGACAGCCTCGAGACCTGTGTTTGCCAAAGTTATGATCCTCATGAGCCTTCAACTTGAAATTGACTCACCTGCCCTACCCCTGCTTCATTTCAGACCCACTCTTCCTGACCTGGGGACTTGTCAGACCTTTCTTTAACCTACCAAGTTGTTACCACCACTTTCTCCCCAGCCCTCTTGTGGTCACCTGCTTCTCTGTATCCCAGAATGTTAGGACCTTTTGTCTTCTCACACATGTGGAGGCCAGAGAGATCAGACCAGTGTTGACAATCATGCTGGCCCAAGATCTGACACATATTGAAAAGAATTCTCCAGCAGCAGCCATCCACTGGTTACTAAAAAATGGCAACGTTTTGCTTTAAAGGCAAGAATCCTGGTGACAAATGATGGGCTAGATTTTCTTTCTGAGAGTAAATAAATTGACATTTCCCCTTGTTCCCTGTACTTTCATTATCCTCTACCCACTGGTGGTATTATGGCCTGCAGGTGCTAGAGATAGCTTTTGGTACCATCCACATCTAAGGAGCATGTGGAATAAATTCTGATGGGACCAAGGTGTTGGGGTTACCTCTGAGTGAGAGTAATTCTGCCTACGTGAGACCACATCCATATCAAAATACTTCCTAAAATCCCATTATTTTTCCATTGTGACTGGTTTTTCTTTCCTTTAAAAACATCCCCCTAAACCTATGTGAAACTCTGTCCCCATTGTTGCTAAAAATCTGTCTTCACTCTATGAGTAGGTGAGTGGTTATTTTTGAAGATAGTTGGTGGATGTAGCTCCTACCACTTCCCCCAGAAAGCACTGTGGTCCCCATTATCCAGAGTCATGGCATTCCCATTATGGGGTAAAGTCAGGTGATGTTATGATATTAACTATAAGATGGGTGTTTAGAGATTAAAAAAATTATAAACGATGTTGTGTTTAAAGGAGAGCACATTCAGGTCAGTGAATGGCCAAGGAAATACATCTGACTATAGGGAGTTCTTGTTACTGAGTCAGTAATACCAGTGATACCAGTGATTGTCTTAATTACCAGCCAAGGCTTAATTAGTTTCTTTTTCCCCTTCAGAGTACCTTGTAGAGCTGAGAGAATACGGGCCTGTGTACTCCACGTGGAGTGCGTTAGAAGGGGAGCTAGCTGAGCCCCTGGAGGGCGTTTCAGCTTGCATTGGCAACTGCTCAACGGCCTTGGAAGAGCTAACGGATGACATGACAGAAGACTTTCTACCTGTGCTCAGGGAATATATTTTATACTCTGACTCTATGAAGGTAAGCATGCTCACTTCTCGTGCACTTAAGTAAGTTCCTTGTTTTAGTCATTTTCAAAAAGTAACTATTGCCTATTCACATGTAGTGTAGTTTTCCTTCTTCATGGGTGGGTAGGATCACACATACGGACTGACCTCATAGACATATAAATAGAACTCGTGGCGAAACAAGGATGTGAATTAAATGAAGGAAAAGAGTGTGAAAGAAACTCTTAATGTTCTCTGAGAGTTCGTGGAGGTATAACATCTACTAAACAAGAACAGGATGCTATGGAAAAAGAATAATTGGATAATTAGAGCTCTTGGAAACTAAAATCTGACTTGCTGAGATGCAATTGAGGAGTAAAGTCGAAAAATGAGGTTGAGGAAATCTTGGAAAGTAAAATAAGGAAACCAAGTAGTTGGAAAGTAGAACAAAAATGTGAAAATACTGAAAATATGAAAGAGTAAGAGACATAGAGGATTAATCTCAGAGGTTCAACATTTATCTGAGAAGAAATCCTAACTGGGAGAACAGAGAAGGCTGATGGAAGGGAATTATGAAAGAAATAATACAAGAAGATCTTCCAAAGCTGAAGGATGTGAGTTTTCAGATTAAAAGGGCATGCTGTTAAAAAAAAAATTAAAAAAAAAAAAAAGGCGGGGCGGGGGGCACCTGGGTGGCTCAGTTGGTTGAGGGTCTGATCTTAGCTCAGGTCATGATCTTGCGGTTGTGAGTTTGAGCCCCGTGTCGGGCTCTGTGCTGACAGCTCAGAGCCTGGAGCCTGCTTCAGATTCTGTGTCTCCTTCTCTCTCTGCCCATCCCCCATTTGTGTTCTGTCTCTCCCTGTCTCTCAAAAATAAATAAATGTAAAAAAAAAAAAAAAAAATTAAAAAAAAAAGGGGCATGCTGATTGCCCAGCAAAAGAAATGAAAAATGAGCCAACCCACAGCATATCACTACAAAATTTTAGAATGAAAGTTATAAGATTTTAGAAGATTTTAAAGAAAAAGGGAGGGGGGATGATGTACAAATGGAATAAGAATCAGAATGGCTTTGATCTAACAGTAAGGGATGAGAAAAGACAGAGGAGCTGTGAGGACAAATGATTTCCAACCTCAAATTCTCCATGCAAAATAAGGATGGGGTCAGATGCTTTAATGCCTACCCTAGTAACTACTCCAGCCTGCACTTAAACCAGTTTGAGAGCATAGTTACAGGGACTCTTACAGTGTGGCATCAGTTAGACAAAAGGGTCAGGCTTCCTGACCAACAGAAAAGGACATGTGGCTGGCTCTGTGTTGAACATCCCAAGTAGCCTCCTACCTCCTTCCCAATGGAGACCTCTGGTTTATTGATCTGTCTTTGGGACAGATCTAGGACACCCCTTTAAGAGATGATTGACAAGAATCTCTTGAGAGAAACTCATCAGGCAACTTTGGGTTGTAAAAATGGAAACCCAGAAAGATCATGGCAATATGAAAGTATTCTATACCTTAAGAAGAGGAGTAAAAGGTAATGAATCAAATAGTTTTAAAATTTTAAAAAAAAAAAACCCTTATTATGGAAAATTTCAAGCACATATATAGAAGCAAAGAGAATAGTATGACAGACTCCCATATACCCATTACCCACATTCCATTTTGTTTCATCAGGTCTGAACCTTTTAAGGCTCTTGAGACATGTTACATTGTGGACAATGGAGCCCATTCCTGCTAGAATGACTCACTGTCTCTTGTATACTCTCTATAAAACTGCTAATGAAACAAACACTTTAATTAAAAAGACAAGATTGGGTCTGGCTCTCACAGTGGGCAGGGAAATGATATGAATTTCCTTATCAGTAAGGTGGAAATGACGGTAGCTGTGGTGATGATAAGGATAAAACTCACATGTGAGGTCATTAGCCTGAGGCAGTTTTGTTGGTAATTATCGGAACTGAGGCTGAAAACCACAGCTCTTGACTCCATGAATTTCCTACACATTTTTCTCTATTGCGTTTTTTCTACTGAGACCCTCACATTGCATAGTTAATTCTAACTTTCATTATAACTTCCAGTTATAAGTAATAAATAAGTCATGGGATGTCATGCAGAGCATGGTGACCGTCGTCAATAATACGGTATTGTGTATTTGAAAGTTGCCAGGAGAGTGGATCTTAAAGTTCTTATCAAAGACAAATTTAGAGCCATCTGTGGTGATGGATATTAACTAGTCTTATGTGGGGAACATTCACAGTATATACAAATATCCAATCATTATGCTGGACACTTGGAACTTATATGATGTTGTATGTCAATTATATCTCAAAAAAAAAAAAAAAAAAAAAAAAAAAAAAAAAAAGACATCCTGACTTGCTTAAAATGAGCCAGAATATTTTGCTTTACTTGTAAAGTTAATAGTATCTGTTTTTGTAAACAAAAATAAAATTTTACAATCCCTGGGGTATCTTTGAATTTGTCTTTTATATAGACACATCCTCCATCAAAAATCCTCCCTTAACCTTGCTCGACTGAAAATCTGATGCATACACAGTCCTGGGATATTACAATACAGATTACTTTGTTCTTGCACTTGGCAAGTATGTTAGTACTTAATATATATTTGTACTTGAAGTAGGATTTCATGTTTGTCATTTAGCACAGGTTTATCTGGCGTCTTTATTAGAATATAATTATATAGTGAGATACAAGCTTATGTGAGTAACTGAAGTTCTACATCAAAGAAACACTTGTTTGTTTGCTCTCTTTCTTCACCCCGTGTATGAGGCATATGTATTGAGTTTCTTATTCACTGAGCCTGAAAACATATAATCAGGTTACTCAGGCTGGGAGAATGGGAGTGTATACAGTGTTTTTTGGGAAGGGCAGAGGAAGGAGGAAGTGTTGACTGGAGGTCTCTGAAACCTTAGCTCTGTCCCGTCGGTGAGCCGAGCTAAGCCCGGTTATAAAGAGACAAGGTCACCTGCTCCCTTTTTTCCAACAGGAAAAGGTCTCTGCAGAGTGGTCTGGGTAAGACAGGAGTCACTTGATGACAATGCCACGACTACATGGGTCCATGACCTCCAGCATTTTCTCCATGTAGGGCTAGACCAACACTCAACTATTTCAAATTCCTAAGGATTGTCAAGATTCATGTGGCCAAGTCTAAGGACATTGGGAGAAGGGAATAAGTGTCTTAAGTGGCTCCCTTGCGTTTGTCTCATGATATTGCTGCTCTTCAAGAATTCTTAGCTTGATTTTTTTTAAGTTTATTTAGTTTTGAAAAAGAGAGTGCCAGCAAGCTGAGGGAGGGGCAGGGAGACAGGGAGAGAGAGAATCGTGAGCAGGCTCTGTGCCGTCAGTGCAGAGTCCAATGCACAGCCTGAACTCACAAACCGTGAGGTCATCACCTGAGCCCAAGTCAAGAGTTGGATGCTTAACCGATTGAGCCACCCAGACACCCCTCTTGGCTGAGTTTTATTCCTCTAGAGAGTTATATGATTCCATTTCCAAACTAACTTTGTGATTTTGGAGGTAAGTGGGATAGATTTTGCTATTCGACATGAAAACTAAACGTGCAGTAGAGAGCTTGCTGGAGGCCTGGCTGCGATGTGTTTGGTATCAACGACTGGATGTTTTTCAGGACTGAGACCATCCTTCCAGTTTTGTTTTGGCGGGGAGGTCTTGGTGTGTTGATGTTTCATCAGTCTGTTTCTCTATGATGGTCTTGAGTGGATCAAAGTGAGAATTCGTCCTCATCATTTGGAGTCAGGGGCCTGGGCCGTAGGAATTTGAAGTACATGTGGGTCAGCTGATTCCCACATGAAGAAAATGTTGGAGATCATTGAGGCTCTCCTAATGGGGCTAAGGTGAAGGCTCCTCTCTGAGTTTGAAAAGGTCTCTGGGATCATCTTGTCTCTCTTGTTTACCTTATAAATGAAGGAATAGAGCCCCACTGATAAATCTTTACTCTGTTCCATGGCCACAGTTCTCAAGAACAGTCACCTGGTATCTGTGTCTTTACTATTGGCCAAGAAGCAAACCAGATCAGTTCCAGCTTTTCAAGGCTGAGTCTCAAATTGTCTCTCTTTAAATGCATTTGTGGCTGGGTATGTTCTGTTCCATTTGGAGGTAGAAAGAAAGCACAGAAAAGGTGGGGTTGTTATCAGGCCCTGTGGAACAGATGAACAATGTTCAGTGAACAATGAGGACAGCTTGTACTAGAAGGATGGTTGAAGTCATGTATTTCAAGGATGCTGAGGAGAGAGAGTGAACGATGTGTAAGAGGGAGGCGTACCAAAGTTACCCTCAGGTCCAAGACTCAAGTTAAACACCCTGAAGATATGTGCAGGTGAGCCCTTATATGGGATTTCACATCCTATAGACTGTGTGTAAAACATAATTAGGATAGTGATAGACTGGAAGAGAACATCTTAGAGTCCTTACCAAATTTTGGGCAGTACCTTTTGAATACTGGCATCCTTATGACCAGGACATGGGTAGGAGAAGCTTTAAGAAGGTTAGGGTAGAACTGTCTTCTTTCCCACTGCTTTATTCATAGAAAAGTGGTCAGAAAATGTTTAATTGAATTTGACATGTCAGTTTGGAGCATTAATAATTATATAACGATTGTATGTCGCATATCTTGTTATTTTTAAAAAATGGGTTTATCTACAACTCAAAGAGCATGCTTATCTCAGAGGTCTTGCTGAGTGACAAGGGTAGGGTGAGGGTCAGAAGAGGATGGTAAGGAACAGACACATGGAGGAGGTGGCCTCGGTTGCAGACTTGAATCAACACATAGGAGTTAGCTGGACAAGGACCAGAGAATTGACCATTTTAGGCAGAAGGAGTAGCTGGTACAAAGGTCCTAAAGCAGAAATGACCTTGGTGGTCTTTGCAGACCAGAAAGCCCGGTGTGAGTGGAGTCCAGTGAGCAAGGGAGCAAGTGGGAGGAGGCAAGGTCAAAGAGATAGGTAGGGGCCAGGACATGTATAGTAGTGTCTTCTTAAAGGCCATGGTTGGCAAGAGTCTGGATTT